CCGAACTAGCTGTACGCCTCGTGGAATGAGGTGTACAGCTAGTTCGGATTAGGAAGCCTAATCCAAACTAGCTAGTCCATGCCGCATGTAGCCGCACGGCACGGGTTCCGACCTAACTGGCATTTAAAAATGGCGCCGGCCGGCTTTATGCAAATGAAGCCCAGGAAATTCAAATCCCGGGCTTCATTTGCAACTCCGTATGACTACATTACCCCCTCTAGTTTGAACTAGGGGGGTAGTGTAGACATACCCCAAGGGACTAACCCCTGGCTCCATGCGGCCGCTTTCGCTTTGAAATGCGCAAGAGCCCTTGCTGGGGACTCTTGTATGTTTCAAAGCTGGCACACTGCTTTCAGCCCAGAGTCAGCAGGACTCCCCGCTGGCCCCCAGCTGCACGTGGAGTTCCACATTCCTCCTTTGAAATGTACAAGAGCCCGCACTGGAGTTCGTGGCTCCATCTAAGTTCACTGTGCCCCAGGTGGTGGGGTAGGAGGGACACGTCTTATGCTACTCCACGCCCAAACCAGTCAGGGCAAGGACAAGAGACTCTGCACATTCCCCCCTACCCCACTGTCAAAGGCAGGCCATGGGCCAATTCAAATGGGTTGACAGGCAGAATCAAACAGATTGTATCGTGCGCACCCCTGATTTAAATGGCTACACTGTTACATCCCTAGTGAAAAAGTACCTATATTATGTAGATTGCTGAGAAGTTGTGGATTTTAAACCCTAATACTTTGGTTATTAAAACAGACTGTAAAATGATGATATTCACCCTAATGTCTACAAGACATATGGATCGTGTTACATTGTCTGTTGATGTGAAGTGAAAGTAGACTGAAATTCTCCTATCCTGAAAAATGTGCTGCTTAGGTAATGTCCTGAGGTTGAAATAAAGGAGACCTCAGTGTGTGGGTTTAACCTTCAAATCCAGGGGATGTCAGGGATCCTCAAGTTAATCACGCTCATTCACTATTGAGCATGGCATGTCCAGAATGGGGCTTGACCTCTCCTTCATACCTGAAGGCATGAATTTGATGTAGACAATTGGCCAGAGTGACTAGATGCATAGAATGTATATTCAAATCTGAAATAGAAACCACCTTCTTTTTAAATACAAAATGATGGAAAAGTCATTCTGTTGACACCAAATTGCAGATGGTGTTGACTGCACCTGCAAATTGTCTGTCAAAAACAAGGGAAAAAACCCTCTGCCTTGCTAAAAAATAGTCCTCTCTAGTTTACAGGACATATTTTTCTCAAGTACTGAATTTTACATGATACTCTAAAATCTGTATCACATATAACATGCCCTGATGTAGCTATGCTAAACTCCCCATTGTGGTGATTGAAAGTATTTTGAAGGAACTAAGAGCCTTGATGAATTGTTTGCTGTAAAAAGTCAGAAAAAAAGCCATTTATAACTGCTTTACTTCTTTTTGAATTATACTGTTGCCAGGCTTCATCATACAACAACCTCACGAACATGCAGCTGTAGTAAAACAATTACTGATGAAAAATACAAGGACCCTTTTAAACTTGGTCGGAAAGACTTGAAGAATCTGTATGAGGATATTAAAAAGGTAGGAGCTTTTGATGAATGCTTTAGGACGATGTAATGAATCTCACATTGAAAAAGATTTAAATTGCAACCATCTGGTTTCCTTTAACATTTATTAAAGCTCTAAACAAAGTTATTGAAGGAAGATTTCTCTTGATAATCTGCATTTATTGCTGTCGAGTGGGAAAGAGGAAATTATTACAAAACAGATAGAAGCAGAAAAATGACTCTTTATTTTCACTCTCTAGAGTACTGCATTGTTTTTAATTTATTTTTTTAAGTTATCCTGAAGAATAGTCTTAAAACCAATTCCAACATAAATTGGCAGGAGAAAAAACAAACTAGTTTAGAGTATTTGAATGCATGTTCCTGACCTGCAATCCAGTTTGATTATGAAGTTAATTCATTTTTCCGTTTACAGGAATTACTTGTATCTACAGCAGAACTTAAAGAAATGTGTGAATATTACTTTGATGGAAAAGGAAAAGCTTTTCGACCAATGATTGTGGTGCTAATGGCAAGGGCGTGCAATATTCACCATAATAACTCCGGGTGAGTCCCTAGTCTTGAAATACATTGGTATGGGCAAATAAGTCTGAAATCTTAAGAATTCCTTTCTTTACAATTTCACAAAATTTGTCTAATGACTTCATCAAAGCTATAAGGTGACCCATGAAACATCAATTTTATTTTGTATAATTAAGTACATTTTACAATAAAAAAAATCTCTGTTGTGGAACTGAATAATTTTGTCCAGTAGAATTGTGAAAAGTACTATTGTAGCTATGGAAGGGAAAGAAGAACGTATTTATAAGTTTCTATATAGCTATTATCTGCTATCATAGATAAGAATTTGTTCACAGTGGGAGGGAAATAGTATTTTATATTAAAACATGACAGGCCTGGAAGCAGTGAGTACCTTTATACTCTATATTTAGCAAGATAAACAATAATGAGAATAAAATTTATTTTTAAAGATATAATTTGTGCAGGATTCTCACTCCCAGAAATTGGGATTAACTCAAAATGGGCATAATGTCATTAGGTTATTTGGCCCTTGAGGGCAGCTGTAACTTGGGATGTCAATGGTTAATTAGTATGCATCACCCTTAGTGGGTGATGCATACTGGTTACCTAATCGATGGCCCAGCTGGGCTGGAGCAGCCCCCACTGAACACGGGTGGAGAGCTGCCCCAGCCCCGTCAAGCCTGCCCACAGCAGGCTCCCATCCCAGCTGGAGCAGCCCCTGGCAGACCCAGGATGTATAGTTTCTAATTGTCCTTCTGGAAGCAACTGAAAATGTGAAGGAACAATAAAGTGTCAACAGTAATTGCTAGAAGAAGGTGCTCCAAACGTATCTTGCTAGTTGCTATTTCCATATGGTGCACAGCTTGCATGGACAAGACAGTGGGAATGGAACTGCACGTACCTTTCTAACCTATAATTCAATCATGGTGCAGGTGATTGAGCAATGTTATGCTGATTGTGCACCCTCATAATCCAAGTACCATGTGATGGGCCATGCCAGTAGAAATAGACAGAGGATGCTGCTGAAAGTCCTTAGTTACAGTCCTGCACATAAGTGGCCAGGGAGTGATAGTCATTGGTTGTAGACTAGCATAAATACCAGATTCATATTGTTCCTAGGTGCCATAGCAGTACTGCTCTCCTCACACAGAGAAAGGGATTGGGGGGGGGGGGAAGGCTTGGGTGCAGCAAGGACATCAGAGTGCTGCTCCTTACTGGTAATCTAGCTCCGTGGTCACCAACCCATTGATCGCAATCGACCAGTTGATCGTGAGGTGTTCGGGGGCCCCCTCAATTTCCCCCCACATCCAAGAAGCCACCTCCGCTGACGCTGCCTCCAGCAACAATGGAGGTAGTGCCGGCTTCTTATGGGGTGGGGGGTCCAAACGCCTCAAATGCCTCTGTGCATTTCAAAGGGGCAGCTGCAGTGGAGCCTGGGGCAGCTGGGGATTCCCAGCTGAACCTGGGCTTTCCCCCGGCATTTCCCTGGATGAGTTGGGGAGTCCCCAGCTGACCACAGGCTCCTAGCGGTATCCAGTGTATTTTGGAGCCTGGGGTCAGCGGGGACTTAGAGTTCCCTGCTGACCCGGGCTTCATGGCTTTGAAATTCACAAGACCCCCACTGGAGACTCTTGTGCACTTCAAAGCAGGCACACTGCATGCAGCCCACAGTCAGTGGGACTTCTGGGCTGTACGAGGGGCTCTTGTACATTTCAAAGGAGGAATGTGGAAGTGCCTATCAACTAGTCAATGGAAATTGCGTCAACTAGTCAATTAACCACATTTTAACATCATTAGCTTGCATATAAGCTAGTGCCATACGTTACACTGTAATACCTCCACTGTTTGTAATACTGCTAAGGGATCTGTTTCTCATAACTTTTCCCATACATAGAGTAAGCTAGCTACTTGCTGGTGACTACTACTTCTCTAAATAAGATATGTTTCTGGGGATTTAGATTTTCTAAATGCAGTGGGACAGCACTTAATTTGTTAGCCATGACTTCTGAATCTATACTATTTGATACTTGAGACCTGTTCCTGCTTCTCCTAGAACCACAACTATCAGGTTTCTACCCATCTCTTCAATTCTATAAAGAGATTCTATGTATTTGACACACTGGCTTGAGAGTTAAGTCTACTACTATTTTCTTTAAGAAGCAGGTGTTAATTATTTTCTAATATCCTCTTTTATTATGCGCATCAAGGTCCAGGGAAACTGACTGCAGGGGCTTCAGTGAATTCTCAAGGATGGAGCAGGACCCGGGACTAAGGATGGGTGAAGAGGGTGCTAAACTTCTGGTGTGGAGCCTGCAGGTTCGGGGTGTTAACAGACTGGAAATTGTTCACCTTCCTGCTACTTCACAGTTTAGCTGAGGGGCAGAGAGGCTTCCCTATGCCAGTGCTATACAGGGCATCTGCACATGCAGGGCTTGGCTCTTCCTGGCCAGCAGCCTGAGCCTGGGTCTTGGGCTTTCCCAGGGCACTGGCTCAGTCAGAGGCAGTAGGAGAAAGGAAGGAGCATGCTGGTCAGGGTGTTGGTGCATGCTGGTCAGGGTGTTGGTGAACTCAGTGCCCCGATCAGGGTCTGGTTCTCCATGCAGTGCTGAGTGGGACATGCCCATCGGGGACATATAGAAGAGCAGAACAGTTGGGAGGGCAGTTGAAGGGGCAAAGCAGGGAGAAGACAGTGAAAGGGAAAGCTCATAAAGGGTGGGCAGCAGAGGTTACATGTAATCCAGCTGCTGTCTGGCACCTGCATGCGCTCACCAACCGCTGCAGTCAGTGCCAGCTAGAAATGGGACAGGGCACAGGGCACTGCTGGCTGAGCGCCAGCATGCAGCAGGAGCTGCACAGACAGGCAGGGGGAGCAGCTGGCCCCATATGTTGCATTTTTGTCCTACCACCAGTCTTACACAACCAGCCCCATCAATTGGCCACTGGACTTCCCTCTATTCACTGCTGGCGAACAGGAATTCGGTAAGCAGCAGGACCTGTTGGTACTGATAGGGAGGAAGATAGAAAATATGGGACAGTTTGTCCATTTTTAAGAAAAAGTCAGGACAGCAGCAGGGGGCCTCAAATACAGTACTGTCCCTTTTAAAAATGGGACATGTAATCCTAGATATGAGGGCTATCAAGTGATTTTAAAAAATCACTGTTTATCACGTGATTACAAAATTAATAAGGATTAATTGCACTGTTCAATAACATTTATTTAAATATTTTTGGATCTTTTCTGCACTTTCAAATTTGTTTCAAAAGTGTGGTGTACACTATATTTTTATTATAAATACTTGCACTGTATACAAACAAGAGGTAGTATTTTTCAATTCACCTAATAGAAGTAGTGTTGTGCAATCTCTAGCATGAAAGTTGAACTTACAAAAGTAGAATCATGTACAAAAAAAAACCTGTGTTCAAAAATAAAACAATGTAAAACTTAGAGCCTACAAGACTACTCAGTCCTACTTAGGGATGTAATAGTGTAGTCGATTAACTGATAATGTTGTAGACTACATGCATTTTCCCCTCTCCCCCCAGTACACTTTTTTAGCAGGCTGGCCAGCAGCCCTGCTCAGTTCCAGCTTGTGCCGGGTCTGGGAGCTAATACAGAGGCAGCAGGGCGGAGTGGCAGGAGGCTCCTCTAGAGTAGGGCTGTAGCACACGGGCTGCTGGCCTCACCCCTGGGGACTACAGAATACTCGAGTAACCAATAAGAATTCATGAGGTTAATCAACCATTCAATTAACTGATATTTAACATCCCTAGTCCTACTACTTGTTCAGCCGGTGACTCAAACAAATCTGGTTACAATTTGCAGGAGATTATGCTGCCTACTTCTCATTTAGTTTTACCTGAAAGTGAGAACAGGCATTCGCATGGCACTGTTGCATTTTGGTCTTACATTGATAATTTTTACTTTATTTTTCTTTCTAGGAGCTTCACTCATCCATGCAATCAAAGAAATTGATTGTAATAGTTGGAGGGCAGCCTTATATCTAATAGGGGGAAGATAGCACACAAATATTAATAAGGTACCTGGAGTACCTAACGCTGCCCTCAAAGATCAAAAACTCTTGAGAGCTAAGAGAGCTCAAGTAATCTTGTGCAAAGAAACAAACATCTAGGATTGTGATTTCTGCCAGATATAGCTTCAGAAAAGCAGAATTTTTACAGAAAAGTAACTTTTCAGGTGGATGATTTTTTTTATTTTTATTTTAATTTTTTTGCGCGGGGGGGGGAGGGCTCCTTTTTCCTATTTAGTGGTCCATTTTATTGATTTTTTTTGTTCTTCATCCTTTCCCTTCCATGGCATTGTTCTTTAGACCATTCAGTCTGTTTTTCATCACCAAACTCACCTTTTCTCTGCTTTCAGGGGTTGTTACTTCACTTCATTTCATTTTCTTCTTCTCCAGCTGCTAGTCCCAACCTATGTACAGCCTTCTGCATCCAACATATATTTCGTTGTTAAAATCTTGTTTGCTTTGTAAATAGCAGAAGAAATGAAAATGCTCCCTCCATATCCATTAAAATAGCAGAACATCAGTTTACACAATCTTGGGCCCTAATTGTGGCATAATTTCTGCATGGACAGATTTTCTTCCCTTGTAAAGATCATAACATAAATGCAAACCTTAGTCTTTAGCTCCATTGTGCAATAGCTTTTGGTCTGTTGTTTAAACGTTTAAATTTATTCTCTGTGTGAGAGAGCTGGAGTCCTGGTAAGAGGTTTAAATTAGGATTGTGTGAATCTCACATTTTCACACATCCTCCTGGAGTTATTCACAACATATAGTGGGAAAATCTCACAGGATTATCACTTTGCCTGACTAAGCCTGTGCTTCTGCACTCTACTGGTTTCCCAGACGCACCACCTATGGTTTGTAACAAACTTTATGCATGTCCTCTACTGTAGCCATGCTTCAGTTAGTGACTGAAACAAAGGAGGAGGAGATACAATAGCAAAGAAGGAAAAATGGGGTGAGCACAAGAGATGTTAAAAACAAATTAGGGAAATAGACCTCTCCTCCCTTAAAAGCAAGAGAAACAAAGCTGATATCTCTGCCACTGTCCAGTCTATCTGGATTCTTACGCTCCATTCATTACTACTGCACAAGACTACCTAAGAACATGGGAACAACCATACTGGGTCAGACCAAAAGTCTTTGTAGTCCAGTATCCTGTCTTCTGACAGTGGCCAGTGAATAGAAGGGAATGTACAGGACTGGTAATCATCAAGTGATCCAGAGCCTGAGGACACCATCCCTGCCCATCCTGACTAATAGCCATTGACAGAAGTTCGTGGAGGATAGGTCCACTTCTTTTTGTAATCCTGTGATAGTTTTAACCTTCACAGCATCCTCTGGCAAGATACCCTTGACAGCATCTTTGCTTCCCAACAATTGTCATGTACGTTGCTTATTGTTCAGCTATTTGCATCACATAGCTGCCTTGACAGCTCCTTAATCCATGCCTCCCCAGCTCCCTACTATACTCTCTCAACTTTTGGTTTACACTCCTGAAAGCACACACTTCTTCCCAGCATGTTCTCAGCAGGTAGTGAAAACTTATTCTGAGAGGTGTGGTCAGGGCATAGGACTGGAAGTCAGCCACCCATTTTCCACAGCTTTAAAATCAGAATAGCAGTACTTACATAATGTGCAGGGTGTTACAAACTCTGTGAAGTTGTAAGCAAGCTCCATACAGAAATATTGCCTTACTCATATTATCCTACCTCTTGCAGCTGGCCTCTGCCTACTGCACACCACAGTGGGAGGAAAGGTCAAGGGTGCTGCAGTTCCAAAACTCATTCACTAAATAAGTCTGTTTTATTGTCTGTCCAATATGTGCAGATAAAGCAGGGGGACCTACTGGAAAAATAATGTGATCATGTAATTAAAGGCTGTCATAATGCATATGCACAAAAAGGCAGTTAAAGTTGCACATATGTACTAAATAATATATAAAATGGTGGTGTGGTTCTACTCTGAGAACATTGTAAAAATGGCACCGTCATCCTCAGTCAGTCTGTGTATATCCAGAGTTATCTGCTGATTTAATTACTAAAATTTGTTTTTTGTTCTGTTAGCATGGCACAGTTAAAGCTCCTGAGAGAGAATTAATTACCAGGTTCCTAATATTTCTTGAGCATCCTAAAAAAATGTACTATGCTCCTAGCAGAGTTTTCAGTAGTGTCACGGTGAGAATAACTTGTCCTGCAGAACCTTTATTACTGTTACTGATGTGTGAGATAGAAAGGACCTTGATTGATTGCCCAGATTGAGTTTGCAAAAATACTAGCTTTTTTTTTTTTAAAGTTTCTAGTAAAATTGGCACATTTTATACAGAACTCGGATGCACCATAAATGTGAACCCTAGAATGCCATTTTTAAAGTCACTTTTCAGAGGAGAACTGTACTTTAAAACAGAACTTTCAAAACTTGCTTTTGAAATGTCTGTCGCTATTGTGCTATCTTTATACCATTGAATGGTTCTGGTGTGTCAATGAGCGTTGCCATTTTACTGCTACTTCCCAGCAGGAAGTCCAGTCTGCTGACATAGTTTATGACAAAGGGAATTCCAGTCAGCAGTTGAATGCATGAAAGAGGCTGGAAACTTTTACAGTTGTTTTAAGGTAAGTTGTATTCTTTACTAAAAATAATTTTATCGAAAAGTTTTTATACTAAAATACTGAACTAACAAAGTTTCTAATGCATATAAGAGCAATCTTAAAACAACCATGAAAGTGTCCAGCTTTTTATTCTTGTACTGAACAATGATTCCTTTTTTCACAAACTACAAGCCATATCCTGTCATTGTTTTGCATGCAGAAATGACCACTAAAAGTGCTACCTAAAAATAGGGTAATTTCCTGGCAGTTGGCAGACTGGCAAGATGTCACCTTCCAACTTCATTGCTAATTATTACATGTTAATATATTTAAACCATGTAAAAAAACCCAAAATCTTAAATTCCTTTTGTAATTAGTTGTAGTGGGTCCAAGGTCTTTTATGTTTTCTCTTCAATTTATTATGGTTCTGCTGGAAATTAGTATGATTACCTCATTTTCTTAAGGTTTCAGACTTGCTGGAAGAGCAGCTTGGACCTTCTGAGAGAGGGAATGATTTGAAAATTTCACTTTTCTTGGTCCTTTATTGCTGTCCTTTATACCCCAGCTAACCCCATATCTATTTCCTCATTACTTCCCCTCCACTTCTTTAAAAATAAATTGAGTTAAATCACAGGTGTGACATCTTCCAAAATACTTAAATGGCCAGTAAGTGTGTGTCATTGACCAATATATGTTCATGATCATATTCAGACATTACACCTCATGCAGTCAATTATCTCAGTCTCTGAAAACACCCAACATCGTAAATGAATAAAGAGAGTCAGCTCAACAGTCGTTGGAGGCTGTATTCTGTGTCCTTCAAATATAGAGCACAGATTTCTAAGCTAGCCGGTCATGTCCAGGTGTTTGTGAGTTGTCAACCAACTTTGGAGAGTCTGAAATTGAGATCTCCCATGTGGAGCACAGTGAAGATAAGGCAGACTTCAAAGGGTCTCCAGTCCAGCTGTTATGGCCTTCCTTTAAAAGTGTCTTCTGCAAAACAGTGCTTGTTGCTATGTTCCAGTGTGTGCGGTCTCTTTGGAACAAGATGTCCTTGGGCATGTAATCTGGTGCCTCATTACTACATTCTAAACTGAGAGAACCTAAAATAGATAATAAAATACAATCCTGGGGTCATGACCATGCTTTGGAAAAATCAGGGTTGTACTTGAACTGGATAGTCTGTGAATAGTATTCCTTTAATGCAGTTATTTTCCTCTTAACTGGACCTACAGTAGAACCTGAAAGTTACAAATACCTCAGGAATGGAGGTTTTCGTAACTCTAAACAAAACATTATGGTTATTCTTTCAAAAACTTACAGCTAAACATTGACTTAATACAGCTTTGACACTTTTGTATGCAGAAGAAAAATGCTGCTTTCCCTTTTTCTAGAAGTTAACTTTTAACACTGTACAGTACTGTATTTGGATTTTTTGTTTTGTTTTTGTTTCATTTTCGTTTTTCTGCTGCTGCCTGATTATGTACTTTTGGTTCCAGATGATGTGTATAGGTGACTGGTCTGTTCATAACTCTGGTGCTCATAATGCTGAGGTTTTACTATATGCATGTATCATCCACAAGTATAGATGGGGAAAGAAGTTAATGTCTAAAAGTCGCCAGTAATATTTTTGAAAAGTCTTTTCTTATTCCATACTTTGATCTCAACTGATTCTTGAATGTTTTGCATGTAAAATATGCCATAATATTATTACACAAGAATTGCTAGGGCTGCATGAGAAGAGTAAAGTGAAATTTGTAAAATATGGTAAAAAAAAAAGTAGGGGGAAGGAACTGAAAATCGTACTCTATTGTAGAACAAATCTGTACCTTATGTTCATTTAGAGTCTTAGGCTTTTTCTACTTGGCTATGATGGGCCTGCACTGTTACTGAAGGGTAAGCTGGTATCTATTCTGGATCATGGATTATCAGCAAAATTTATTTAAATTTCAGATTTTTTAAATTTTTCTTGAACTTGCCATGTAAGTTAACTAAATTTACTAGAACTCATGAGTTGTGGTGGAGATGGAATTTTTCTTTATGCTATTTAAACTGAAGAAAGGATGCTACTGTAAATCCAGGACTGGTTAATGTATTTTTCTTAGAATAGTGGCTTTTCAAACTGTGGTACACAGGACACTTTCACATGATCTTGAAGTTTGCTTCTGGTACATTAGGGAAAGGTGGAAAAAGTATCAAGTTTAAAATAGTGATGCTTCTTCCTAAATGTTCCAGCCCAGGAAACACTAAAGTTTTCAGATGTTTTTGACTAGTACAACTCTCAATATAGCTGCAGTCTATGGCTGCTTCAGGTCTCATTGTCCAAGTTTCTCTTCGGTGTAGATTTGGTCATAATCAAATCTGCAGAAGGCCTCAATATGTGGGAGAACAGTAGCACAAACAAAGGAAGACAGAACCAAATTGCATCTTCAGTTGTAGATATTGGAGCAGTGATGGTTGCTAGCATTGAGGTAAAATGTTGAAGTCCTTTAAAGAGAGAAATATAGAGCCTCATTCAGCTCTCATTGAAATTAATGGTATGACTTCCATTAACTTCAATGTTGCAGAAACAAGCCTATATGTAGACCTCTACAAAATGAGGAGATGTAACCAACCCATTGTATTAAAATGATCTGACTCGTACAGAGATCAGAAGGTTGGCAGTCCATGATATGTTCAGAATGTGAAAATGTTTTGAGAACCACTGCTATTGAAAAATAGTTTCCATTTCCATAGAGACTTTTCATGAGCATATTGCAGTCCACATAGTATGCTTGATTGACACTTAAAGGTGTGTGTGGGTTTTATAATTTTAGGGAGGTGCAAGAAAGCCAACGTTCTGTGGCCATAATTGCAGAGATGATCCATACTGCAAGTCTAGTTCATGATGATGTCATTGATGATGCAAATTCTCGGAGAGGAAAAACAACGGTTAATCAAATCTGGGGGGAGAGAAAGGTGAGTCTCTGTCATTATATAGCTCTGGTAAAGTGGAGACTTGTATTTGTCATGTTGCTAATGTTTAGTGTGTATGTGTCCTTAAGCAGTAGAGCGTGGCTATGGTTGAAGCTGGGGATGTTTAGAAAAAAAGGAGTAATCTGAGCTGATCATATCCTTGTCAGCATGGTATGAGTTTCTACATGCAGGGGGTAAAATTTCTATAGGAAACCCTTGCCATTCATAGTGAATGAGTTCCTGGCACCACCACACATGGCAAAATTCATGAATACAGGGAGCTATAGCTCCTGGCCCTGGGCAGCCATCCATACTTCCCCAGGCTGGGATAGGAGACCCCTGCAAAATCACAGAACCATGAATAACAATTCTGTTTAACACAAGGGTCTCCTGTATAGTGAGACAGTGTTTTTTCTCTGTGATTGATTGATACTGACCGTCATGGCAGTTGCATGCAGTAGCTAAAGTCCTGTTGAAATGCTTTGAAAATATACCTCCTTTAAGCACCTCATGTACTAGTTTCCCCTACCTAAATAACAAACCAAAAGAGTTTTTATATTAGCATTAGACTTTTCAGGCTTCACAATATTAAATATATAGCTTAAGATAGTAAAGGCTTTACTGTTACAAATCTCCTGTGAAATATGTAAGATGACTTAAGCTTCTTCATAAAGCATTTGAAAAAAAATTATTCAAGAAGTTCTGAATAGAGTTAATTGAATGTATTCAATAATGTAGCACAATGACCATACAGTATATAATGGTTTGTATAGCAAAAAAAAAAGCACTGTAAAATGGGAGCTCCAGAATGATTTAAATTTAAATACCGTAACTATTTTTTTTCCAGTTTTCAGTCAGAAGTGTGCACTTTGAGGAAAATTATGTAATCTGACTACATGTGGAAAATATAAAGGGAGTCAGATTGTCCCTAGTATTTTTTGTGAAGAGATATTTTTAAAAAAATACAAAAATCTTCTCTCTTTTTTTTTTTTTTTTCCCCCACCCCCCCCAGGCTGTTTTAGCTGGTGATTTTATCCTTTCAGCAGCTTCTGTCGCTTTAGCAAGAATTGGAAACACTACTATTATCTCAGTATTAAGTCAGGTGATTGAAGATTTGGTGCGTGGTAAGGTTTTTTTCTATGTATATCTTCATATTTCTTTATCTAAACAATACACACAAAAATAAAGACTTTGTCCTTGCATCTTTATAGGTGAATTCCTTCAGTTGGGCTCCAAAGAAAATGAAAATGAGAGATTTGCTCACTACCTCGAGAAGACCTTTAAGAAGACTGCAAGTCTTATAGCAAACAGTTGTAAAGCAGTATGTACGTTCTGTCTCTCCTCAAGTTAACATACCATAGTGTAAGCTTCACAGCTAAATTCCCAATTAATTGCTATTTTCTTTGGAAATGCTCCAATCTAGACATTTCAGTGATACTCTGCCACAGTCCTTATGGATCTCTGGTTAAAATTTTTATCCCAGTTCAGCTGTGCAGCCTCCATTATTGGTTTTCAGTCTTTCCTTTCCGTTTTACATGCAGAGACAAACTTTCAATCTTTCCCTGCTTGATTTTCAGCAAGATCTATTGTAGACTCCTAAGCTCATTTTAAAATAGTAGAAGTTTTTTAAATCAAGTCTGAACTATTCATCTTATAATTTATTGAGTGTAAGTTTCCTTTCACATCTGTTGTCTTCTATAGTATAGCATAGTAAAGTGTAATGCAAAGCCCCACATGAAAACTGCAAAAAATTTAAACAGTTAGTTTGTGTTCTTCCTATTTTGCATTGTTCTATATGAGAAATAGATTATTTTCTGCTGACCTTTAAGTCTTATTAATTGAGTGTGTTTTTAATTGGTCGTTTGGGATGACTAAAACAGTCATGTCCAATTCAATTATTGTAAAAATGACAGAAGCATAAGTTCAAGGACTGAGTCCCAAACAAATAGTGGGACCCTGAGGGTACGTCTACACTTCATTCCTCTTAAGAGAGAGGAATGCAAATGCAGACACCCAAAATTGCAAATGAAGTGGGGCTTTTAAATATCCTGCGCTTCATTTGCAAAATTGCATTATGGCGCTATTTCAAAATAGGGCTATTTTGAGAGGGAAAAATAGGGCTATTTCAAGAACCCATATTCCGAGAGAAGGGTTTTATTTTGAGGGAAGGGTTTTATCTCAAAATAACCCCATTTTTTCTCTCGAAATACCGCTATTTTGAAATAGCGCCATAAGTCAATTATGCAAATGAAGCGTGGGATATTTAAATCACTGCTTCATTTGCAATTTTGGGTGTCTGCATTTGCATTGAGGGAGAGAGGGGGGGACATACCCTACTCTCCTTATAAAGCACCAGATTCTGTTACTTTTGTTGAACAACATATGAATATTAACGGGGCTCGACAAATAATGCAATCTGCTCGCCCATGGTGAGTAGATTGCAACCTGGAAGAGCTGGGTTTGGGCGACCTGCGCATGCGCACATCGCCGGACAGCACGGCTGGCGATCAGGGCTCGCCGTGGTTCGGCGAGTCCTGAATATTGACATGCACAGACAAGACATTCTTAAAATAACCGTGTTTATTACCAGTTCAGAAAATACAGAAGGTGACAAAAATGCTTCCCCTTCTCCTAAAAGAGCTGGAACCATACCATACCAATAAGAGGCAGTTCAAAAAGGATTAGTCTAATACACTGTGTTGTTATAAAGTGTGTTGTTCTGAAATCATTAGTATATTCTTGCAATAAAGGGCATTTGAAAATTGCCTAAAGTGGATTATGTAAAACAGGAGATTATTTCCAATATTGTAATACCTTATTGGAACACTTTCAGTATAGTATACTTTCCATAAAAATCTGACTAGTTCAAGGAATCTGAAAATTTGACTAGTTCAAGGAAAACAGAAAACACTCCTGTTGTAGTTGCATATATCATTTTGGTATACTGAAATCTTGTAAAGGTTTCATTTCTAAAAATAATCTGTTTCTCAAGCTTCTTAAATTCACAACAATTTCTTTTGTGTTTCTGAAACAGATTGGGACTGTACCCTGGCAGCAAAACCAGATAAAGCAATATTTCTCTTAACTTTTCACTTAGACATAATGTAGCAACAAAGTTGAGGTCCTTGAAAAAAGGACATGTTGGTGATACCAGATCCACACCTACCTTCAGAAGAGTCATGCTATCAACTGTGTTATAACTTCATGCAGTGGTATCTAAGGATCTAAACTTCTGTGTGCATGGTGGGGTCAGACTGGGACATAGGTGGTTCATAGGGACAGAAATGTATGATTATACAGCTTTCCTCTCTGTCTCAAATCTTCAGTGGGAATTTTGGCTGAGTTAAAGACAATAAGATCAACTTTCTGATTCACCACATATTCAGTGTAACTGAAAGCTGTTGCTATTATATAGCAATTTTGGCAACCAAAGTGAAAAGAATTCAAAGGGCTTTTCGTTTCCATTAGATGGTAATTTCAGTTTACTTATTAGCCTCTCTGAGGCTACGTCTACATTGGCATGATTTTATGCAAGAACTCTTTTGCGGAAGAGTTCTTGTGCAAAAACTCTTCCAGAAGAAAGTGTCTACACTGGCATGTGCCTTTGTGCAAGAGATGTGCTTTTGCGCAAGAGCATCAGTGCCAGTGTAGACGTTCTTATGCAAGAAAGCTCTGATGGCCAATTTAACCACAGGGCTTTCTTGCAGAAGGAAATTATGTTGCCTGTCTACACTGGCCTCTTGCACAAGAACAGTTGCACAAGAGGGCTTATTCCTGAGCAGGAGCATCATAGTTCTTGCGTAAGAAGCACTGATTTCATGCATTAGAACGTCAGTGTTCTTGTGCAAGAACTTGCGGCCAGTGTAGACAGGCAGCAAGTTTGGGCACAAAAGCAGCCGTTTTTGCGCAAGATCACATCAATGTAGACACAGCCTGAGAGTTTGCACAAAAGCCAAGGATTCGGTCATATCCATCCAAAGCATAGCTGAGGTGTAGTTGATCAGAAAGGGACCTTGGTTTCTGTTACATTCCACTACTTGTACTGTTTCATTCCATTACTTGTATTGTTTCCACCTTTGGGAAGCATGCAATTCAGATACCGTGTTTATAAATAAATGTGAGAGAGATGGGACTATCCTTGGGGGCAAAGCTATAGCTCTGTTATAACAAAACATTTTTTTTTCTTTCCCTCAATTTCTTCATAAGTCAGCAAGGCTGAGAAGATTGGCACTGATAGCACAAATGGCAAATAATGCCTGGAGCACACTTTCTGGGACACTTTGAGCTGTTTAAGAAGAGCTGATGGGTTCAGAAGGAATTTTGCTCTTTGTAGCCAGAATGGCCAGCAAAATCATTATCTGTAGCTTGAAAGTGGTTCTTTTAAGAATCCAGGATTAAGATGATTTCATTCTAAAGGGCAAACAAAAGTGTTGTCTACACTTAACAGTTTAAAGCTCAGCCATAGCAGCGCTGTCACAGCAGTGCTTTAACCTGAAAGTGTGTCCACAGCATGAGCACTGAGCGCTCTCCCAGCACTCTGTCTAAACCACCTCCACGAGGGGAGGCACTAATAGCATTAGTAGTGCAGCTCCCAGCACTGTAACCTGGTTCACACTGGCATTTACAATGCTGTAACTTGCTGTAATCCTGGGGAGTGTTTTTTCAGCACTGTAAAGTGCCATTGTAGACTTGGCCTAAGGATATGTTATTGATGATTTAAAATATCAGGATAAGTTCTGAAGCGTATGAGAGTTCATTTCTCGTGTTAAGAGAAGGAAAAGACAGTCATTGTTTCTAGTTGCATATAAACAAGGTAAAATATTGTCTGAAAAAATGGCAGAAACTAATTCTAGTGGGATTTCAGTTAGAATTAATCTACAGAAAGGGAGACTGTTGTGTTCCTGGGGCAGGGCCTAAATATGATATGGATGGTCTTGTCCTGTAACTGAATTAGATATCTTCTGCATCTCCATAGCAATGTTACATTAGAACTAAAATGCCATTGAGGTAACTAAATAAACAGCCTGTCAAGGGCCTAAAGCTACCATAAGCTCCAGTGTATAGTTACTACATGGTAGATGTGTATGTAAGCTGCAGCCAAAGTAGTATATATGCGTGGCAGATGGCTCTGAGAGTCACTGTAGTCTCAGTTACCGAAAGGCATTTTTCAGAGACAATATGAGTAGAGGATTTCTGTTCAGGAAATCACAGCAATAAAGCACAAATGGAATTCCCAGCTGTCATGAGAGAAATCTAAGTAAAGATTTACTCTGCATAAATTACTTGAAAAATAGAGATTAAAAATATTTTTGCTGAAATTAATATAAAAGTTGCATGACCAATTCCTGCTTCATCTACAGATGTAGGATCTGATCCCGCAAGCTGATCTATGTGTTCATACCCCTGCACGGAGAGCCCCACTGACCTCAAAAGAGCTCCATGTGGTGATAAGGATTTGTTATGGGGACAGTAATGGAAGGATAAGTCTGTAGTTCTGTATCTAGCCAATGATTCCAAATTTAAAAGCTTAAACTTCCACCAAGCGTGTCACATGGGGGTCCACGTGCACAGAAATTGGTACACAATTGGAGCCTAAACTGTGCTAGCTTCTCTGACACATTAAAGAATGCAATGTCACTAATGACCGGAGTTGACTTTGGTCATCTGAAGAAGTGGGCTGTGCCCACAAAAGCTCAGGATATCATCTACGTGTTTTGTTAGTCTAAAGTGCTACCAGACCACTTTAAGTTTCTCTTTACAGTATCATTTTTAACGCTAATAAAGCTAATCTCTATTCAGAGCTTAATACTGCAGTTCTGTTGTGCCCTGTGTATTTTCTTTTAATGGGGCTGCATCTGTGTGTGTGTGTGTGTGTGTGTGTGTGTGTGTGTGTGTAAAATCAGTTTTGGGGATGGGGAAGAATGCTCTTAGACAGAACTAGTCAACTTTTGAAGCGGGGGGGGGGCACAATGACATTCACAGCACACGTACAAGGCCGCAACTTAGGTGTGGTTGCATATACATGCAAGTATATATGCAAATAGCTTCTTTCACGCTGACTGGCATGAATACAAAGATTAAGACAAGACTATACAACGCACAGGCCCCATTTAAGTCATTTAAGTGATATTAATAAAATACAATATTTACCCAATTTCCACCCACATAACCGCAATGAGAGTCCAGGAATTTAACTACTAAAATGAATATCAACAGAAGACCATTCTATTGACTTGCTGTTATGGATTCCTCTGCAGTAAAGTTATTCCTATTGGTCAAATGGATGCAATTTATGTAAGCAATACAGTCTATAACAAAAAGAAATCTGGTCCTTCCACTTCTAATACCAAATATTGCCAACCATGAGCCACTCAAAAAATCACGAACCAACTCCCCCCCCAATTGTATTGGAGGCTGTGTTCAAAGGATCCCATCTATGGGCCGCATGTTGAGCCCTATGTAAACCCAAACGGCATGGTGGGCCACAAAGAGGCTGCAGGCTGCATGTTGAGTTGCCCTGCTCTAAGATATGGTTTAGTTTTCCTCTTTGGATATTCACTGTGTTTATTATGTTACACCTACAATAAAATACATTGCAGGTGAATAATTAGAGTTGTTCTTTTTATTTTTTCCTCTTCCTTTCAGGTTTCCATACTAGGCTGCCCTGATCCAAAAGTTCACGAGATTGCATACCAGTATGGAAAAAATGTTGGCATAGCTTTTCAGGTGGTGTATTCAGTTACTTTTACAGAATTAATGAGAAGTCTAAAATTTATATTTCTCTAAACTAAACTGGATTGCTGTAATTCTCTATATAAATCTTTTAATTAAAACAAGTGTCACATCATGAGTCTTTTTAATGTTCTAAAATTTGCTTTTGTGTTTTTTTGGTTTTTTTTCCAGCTAATAGATGATGTGCTAGATTTTACATCATGTGCTGACCAGCTGGGGAAACCAACAGCAGCAGATCTCAAGCTTGGATTGGCCACAGGCCCTGTTTTATTTGCTTGCCAACAGGTAGGGTTAAAGAATATTCTTCAAAAATAAAAATTTCTGGATGAAAGAGACAGTAGTAACTTGAAATCTAGTCAATTTAAAATATGTTAAGCAGATTTAGGTGCTATATTTGTCCTTGAGTCCTGGCTGCTGGTGGTTTTACCATCACTTTTTTCTCCACAGTAGAAAATGACAGACTGAAAATAAAACCACACACAAAGCAATCAAACTGGAAGAGAGAAATACTTCGGCTGCGTCTAGACTGGCATGATTTTGCAGAAATACTTTTAACGGAAAAGTTTTTCCATTAAAAGTATTTCTGCAAAAGCGCGTCTAGATTGGCACAGATGCTTTTGCGCAAAAAGTGCTTTTGCACAAAAGCATCCGTGGCCAGTCTAGATGCAGTTTTGCACAAGAAAGCCCCAATCGCCATTTTAGCCATCGGGGCTTTTTTGTGCAAAACAGTTCTTCCCTGTCTACACTGGCCCTCTTGCGCAAGCAGCACTGATTTTGAACATTACAAAGTCAATGCTCTTGCGCAAATTCAAGCGGCCAGTGTAGACAGCTGGCAAGTTTTTGCGCAAAAGCAGGTGCTTTTGTGCAAAATCTTGCCAGTCTAGACGCACCCTGACTGTCCTCTAATCTCTTTCATGGATAACAATTTTAGGTATTCGCTCTGAACCATTTTTTACTTACTATTGTTAGATAGAAATTTTAAGCTAATACTATCTTTTGCAACCTTATTAATCTACTACAATTCTTTGAGGGGGGTCAACAAGCATGTGGATAAGGGGGAGCCAATGGCTATAGTGTACTTAGATTTCCAGGAAGCCTTTGACAAGGACCCTCAGCAAAGGCTCTTAAGTAAATAAGTTGTCATGGGATAAGTGGTAAGGTGTTCTCATGGATTGAGAACTGGTTAAAAGAGAGGAAAAAAAGGGTAGGAATAAATGGTCAGTTTTCAGAACAGAGAGAGGTAACTAGTGGTGTCACTGAAGGGTCTGTACTGGGACCAATTTTATTTAACCTATTTATAAAATGATCTGGGGAAAGGAGTAAAAAATGATCTGGAGAAAGGTGGCAAAATTGGCAGATGATACTAAACTGCTCAAGATAGTTGAGAACAAAGCAGACTGTGAAAAGCTTAAAAAGGATCTCACAAAACTAAGTGATTGGGCAACAAAATGGCAAATTAATTTTAATGTTGATAAATGCAAAGTAATGGGGAGGACTTTAACAGGGTTCTAAAAAGAGCTAGATAAATTCATGGTGGTTAGGTCCGTCAATGGCGCTTAGCCAGGACAGGTAGGAATGGTGTCCCTAGTCTCTGTCAGAAGCTGGGAATTGGTGACAAGGAATAGATCACTTAATGAAACCTGTTCTGTTCACTCCCTCTGGGGCATCTGGCATTGGCCACTGTCGGAAGCCAGGATACTGGATTAGATGGATCTTCGGTCTGACCCAGTATGGCCATTATGTTCTTTCAAAATACTATTTAGCAGTTTTTGCTTTATGGGTGGAAATTTGGGGGGAGGGAAGGAAGAGAAAACAATGCAGCAGACCTTCCCTGCAACACTCCCTGTTGCTGCTGCCTAGTTGTGATTAAGAGCAGGGAGATGTGGTACTTTAATGTTTGCACTGGTCCGATCAGGGCCATGCACGCTGCAGTCTCTTGGGGGCTATGGCTACTGCTTCTGGAGCCATATGGGGCTGATGTGTGGGATGCTGGAGGCGGTTCTTGTCAGTGGAGGCAGCTACAGTGTTGTCAGTGCACTTAGGGAGTGCCTGCCTTGCTGAGGCCTCCACAGCCAACTGATGAGTTCCAGACCCACATTCCCTGGAGCAGGATCTCAGTGAACAGCTGTGGGATGTAGGAAGAGACAGGTTTGGCAGAGTAGCCACCAGCAGGTGTTGGCACCCACACACTAAGGCTACCAAAAATGGTTGAAAGAACCTCTACTATACCGAGTGGTTGAAGTACCTGCTCTTGAGAAACTTAAATGGCATGGAAAGGTTGTCAGGCAAAGAAGAGGAAGTTCACACAAAAAAGTTATAGGGTTGCTGCTCGAATGAGTTAGAAATAACTACTTATTTCCATTCCAACTCATATTTGTTAGTCTAAGGCAGGACTACGCAACTTTGGAAGCCCCAGATGCCATGATACTCACAGCACATGCCAAGGGCTGCAACTTAAGTGTGGTTGCATATATGCAAATAGAGCCTGTCCCCAACTTACAAATGGGTTATGGACCAAACACCTGGTCGTAACTCGATTTGTTCGTAAGTTGGGAATACATGCTTTTAAATATGACCGTACTGTGTAAGTGCGGATGGTGTTCATAAGCTGGGGACAGGCTATAATGGGAGGTTGGTCATAAGTGCAAACAGTTAAAAGTTGATATATTTGTAACTTGGGGACCAGCTGTAGCTTTTTCACACTGACAGGCATGAACATAAAAGATTAAGGCAAGACTGCACAACATGCAGGCCCCTTTTAAGTCAGTTCTACTGCTGATAATGCAATATTTACCTGATTTCCACCCATATAACAGCACTTTTAATGAACAATGATAGTCTAGGACCGTGGTCCACAACCTGGTGCCCACGGGCACCATGGCGCCCGCCGGGCCATTTACATGCGCCCACGGAGCAATCTGGGCTGGCCCCAGCCCCAGGCGCATGGCTGGCCCCAACCCTGACCCCTGGCACTGGCCTTGGCCCTGGCCCTGCCCCCGGGGGCACTGCACCAGCCCTGGCCCAGGATCGCAGCACATGCTTGGCCCTGCCCCCAGTCACGTGGCCTGTGAGCGGCCCTGCCCCCATACGCACAGTGCGTGAGCAGCCCCAAAACATTGGGGACCACTGGTCTAGGAATTTAACTACTAAAACACAAGAATTCATTATATTAACTCGCTGTTGTGGAGCGTGTTGCCAGTGGAGGCCATGTTCAAAGGATCCCACCCCGGGCCACATGTTGAGCCGTGCGTAAACCCAACCATCGGCTACAAACAAATGAGCCATGTGTTGAGTAGCCCTAGTCTAAGAGTACATCTACATAAATGTTTATTTCGGAATAAGCTGTTCTGGAAGAAATACTCCAACATAGCCTTTGAAATAGCACATCTACAGTACAGGGAAGCCTTGAAATTAGTCCAAGACAAGCTCCCCTAAAGTGGATGTGCTACCTTGAGTTAGAGCCCCAGGAAGCACTAGGGAGTAATTACTTTGAATCGCTCTGGGAAGGAGCTGTTTTGAAATAGCAGCAATGGAGCATCCACACTTCTGCTATTTCAAAATAGCTGTTTTGGAAGAGGTGTTATTCCCCATGGAATGAGATTTACGGAAATCAGGATAAGCTGTCTGTTATTTCAGAATTATTTTGAAATAACAGAATTGCTGGATAGAAGCACCTTAAGGTGCCACAGAACTACTTTTTTTCCTCACTATGGAGAGTTCTAGATCCCAATTACAAAATGTTCAAATCAGCACACATTGATACTGAAGGCTGCACAAGGAAAGCTGACCCTCCTTTACAATTTATAGCACAAGTTAAATGTTTGCTTTATCCTAGCTGTTACCTGCAAGGGGGGAGGAGAGGGATGAGAGCTCTTTATTTTTATATAACAGCATGCTGATGATCCTCCACGCTGGAAAATAACATGTTCTAACACACAGCATCTGGAAGAAGTAAAGGCTAGTAGCTCTTTAGATTTATGATAGTGATTTACCCAGATAAGGGACTTTAGACTGACTGATTTATAGAATAAGACTTTTACAAATGGTGTTGAGTCAGAGGTTGAGACTAAAGAGTCCTAAATTTTAAAAGTTCAGCTGAATGTATATATTTAAGGACTTGACACCTCATTAATCCTAAACAGGGATGAATTGTGTGCTTTTCTGAGTAGTTGAGCCTAAAACTTCTGTATTGCAATTTTCTAGCCCCACCCAGAGTTAGCTTATTGGATCAGCTGCTGCTGTTTTATTGCATTATAGGCACATCAAGCATGTTGGAGCACAGTGGTTTACTTTTGTATTGAACTGCTAGCTAGACCCTACTGGGAGAGTCTTCCAAGTAGAGGAAGGACCCAAATCCAAACCTCCCCTTATTTTGCACATTTAATTTACCATGTTCAGGAATGGTGGCTGATTTGAATCCAACTATATAATTAAATATTTAGCACACTGGGAAGCCTGATGAACATCAAATGGAATGAGCTCTGTTATGTTTGAATTATTCTCTTACCTCTGCAATAAATAAGAGGACCTTCAGCTCACTCTACATGTCAGATTTACCAAGACTTCATGCCTTCTGCCCCCAAGATGGCCAAAGGGTTGTTTCTGCTCCTTAACTATTTTGAGTAGGTAGGGCAGACACGTTCTGCACAACATTGATCTCTACAGCATGTATATTTAAAACCTTTATAGAAACAAACTTGATGGCTGTGTCTAGGCTGCATCCCTTTTCCGTAAAAGGGATGCAAATTAGACATATCGCAATTGCAAATGAAGCAGGATTTAAATCTCCCCTGCTTCATTAGCATAAAAATGGCTGCCGCTTGTGTCCAGCTCAGAGCTTATTTTATTCCTCTTAAAATAAGGAATCTTTTGGAAAAGGCTTTATTTTCTGAAAGATCCACATCTAGACTGGCGCTTTTTCCGGCAAAACTCCGAGCCGGAAAAAAGCAGCAGCTATTTTTATGCTAATGAAGCAGGGGAGATTTAAATCCTGCTTCATTTGCATCCTTTTTATGGAAAAGGGATATATTCTAGATATAGCTGATATATATAGTATGTTGGGGGTAGGGAAGGAAGGAAGAATAACTTAAAGAAGCTCCAAACTAATGTCTTGTATTTTTATAACCTTTCATCACAATCTGCTACACTACCAAAACATTTCATGAACCGCCAATACTTAATTTCCTCCTTCATGCTTAGTTTCCAGAAATGAATGCTATGATCATGAGGAGATTCAGTTTGCCAGGTGATGTTGAACGTGCTCGGCAATATGTACTTCAGGTAAGACAAGTATGAAGTATAAATATTAATTGCCTATGGCTGCTTACAGCTGATTTGAGGAATCTAGAATTCATTGCATGAATAGAGCCCTGCCATATGTGGCTAATTATTTTTAAATAATTTAATATCTAATTCTAGGAGTAGTTCTAAACTACATACCCCAAGGAATGTATACACAGGTCTGGGAGGGAAGGGGGTGAATCAACTCATCTAAACAGTTACCCAATGTGATAAGCTACAGAAAAAGCAAAGTTAGTACAAACTAAAATTTCATACAAAATGAGAAAGTAAGCAATTTTCCCATGATAGCGTGCTGTGACACTTTATATTTGTCTGATTTTGTAAACAGTTTAAATCAGGTGAAACTTGGGGGTATGCAGGATAGATCAGAGGGTTACAAGAGTCTAGAAATGTTGAACCACTGAATAGGGTGTAACTAAAAGTATTGTTGCACAGATCTTCAAAATTTTCTGGCTCCTAGGATGAAAAATTGCTTGATAGCATAGCATTTCAGAAGAAACGCAAGTTACTGCATTAGATAGATGTAGTAGGAATATAAGCAATATCTACATCAGAATTAGAAATTGACCTTATTGGATCCCATGCATTAAAACCTCAAGTTCCAGGTACTGAAGAGTACCTACATTTAAGAGATACAACACAATGGTATAGAGGCAGTCCCCGGGGTTACATACAAGATAGGGACTGTAGGTTTGTTCTTAAGTTGAATCTGTATGTAAGTTGGAACTGGCGTCCAGATTCAGACACTGCTGAAACTGACCGCCAGTTCTGACTTACATACAGAATCAACTTAAGAACCCCAGGCGTCCCCAAGTCAGCTGCTGCTGAAACTGATCAGCAGCTGATTCCAGGAAGCCCGGGGCAGAGCAACTCTGCCTGGGGCTTCCTGTAGTCAGCGCCCCGTTCGTAAGTGCGGATCCGACGTAAGTCGGATCCGCGTAAGTCGGGGACTGCCTGTATATGCAATAACATGTCACTTACTTTTGAGATATTTTCTGCAATCTGGTAGCTAAATATTTATTTAGTTTTAATTTATTTATTCTTCTTTGAAAACCATGTTCTTTCGAAATCAGTTCACCTTATCGATAATTTTAAGTTCTGCTAGTGATTAAATTTGTATCTAGTTAAAGGGATGGGGACCTATGGCCCAGCATGCGGCATGTCTTGATCCGGCCCACGAGGCTTGGGCTCTCTCTTCCCACAACAGAGCAAGCCAGAGCTGGCTTGTCCTGCTATGGAGTCCGGAATCCCAAGCGTAACAGGCTGGATCAATGCAAGTTACAGGCTGCATCGGGCCCACGGGCTCTGCCTAGCAGGGGAGAGGAAGTGGTTCTTCATTCTGATGTCATCCCCTACTCCCTCTGGCTGGGGAAATGCGGCGGTTCCCCGCGCCTCTGAGGCTTGGCTCTGGCAAAGCCTCAGAAGCGCGGGAACCCGCCCGGTGCCCCTGGTCTGCTGGAGACGGTGTCCAGCAGACCAGGGGCACCGGAGCAGCTTACCAACGGGGCTTTCTCGCCCCGACTTCCGGGGCGAGAAAGCCCCGTTCATAAGTGCGGATCCGACATAAGTCGGATCCGCGTAAGTCGGGGACTGTCTGTAATCAAAAGAAAGTTTGCACTGCTTATTAGTTTAAATCTGACCTTGCTAAAGAAAAGATTTTAGTTCAATGGTCTAAAATTAAGATTTTAGGGGTAGAGTATTGTGTAATGGGAATGTATGCATCTGAAGGAGAGTGAGTTAAGGGAACACTATTCTTCACTAAAATATTAAATATACTTTCAGAAAGCTAGAGATCAGTTCCATTGAGTATTAGTAGTTGTCCTAAAACATTCGAACCAGTGTGGATAAACTTACATTTGTTTTAATAAATGCTATTTACAATTTAAACTAAACTTGAAATTGACAGTTGAGTCCTAAACTCACAATTGCCATCTTAAAGTGAAAAATACATATTTTTCATTTAAGGTAGTTTATGAATGAGAAACAATTACTAATTTGTGCATTTGAATCCGTTTTCACAAATCATGAGTTAAATTAATCATCTCTATTAGAAATGAGTGATACTTTAATCTGTATGTTATTCCCACTTAAGCAATTATGTTTATGTATACTGATTAGCAAGTTATACAAATAAAATACATCTTCAGAAAAATTATTAAAGTTTAACTATATAAAAAATTAAAATCAAGCTTTCTTGCTTGCGGATTTAAATCTGATCTAGAGGGCATAAGACACTAACTCACTTCCAACAGCATTGCTTTGTTTTAGATGTATTAATAGAAAGTCTATATATTAATTTTTTTTTTTAAAGAGTGATGGTGTACAGCAAACAACCTACCTCGCCCAACGTTATTGTCATGAAGCATTGAAAGAGATAAGTAAACTGCGGCCATCCCCTGAAAGAGATGCCCTCATTCAGCTCACAGAAGTTGTACTCACCCGGGACAAGTGACATACTTTCTTCTCCTCATTCTGGCAGCTACTTACCAGACTGTGCCTACAAAACTACACTTCAAAACATTGTGGTTTGCTTCCAGTGCTGGTTACCAAAAATTATTTTTTTAAAAATATTTTCTGAAGTTAAAGTACTTTAAGTTTATGAAGATGTGAGGGAAGCCATATAACTATGAAACAAATCCATTAAATTGTACTAATTGTGTTTTAATAAGGGCGTTTGTTGTGAGAAGTATTGTTTGCACTTAATATTGATGTACCAGGCCACAATGAGAATAAATATGATCAGTTACATTTAATGTGTTTCAAATATCACTTCACACTTACAGTAATATTTAATATTAATGTTTACAGTAATATTTAATGTTAACTGTGAAAACAGTCTGGTAGCTTTCCAAACTTTGGATGTTAAACTTCAGAAGTACCCAAAATTTTATATAGGAGAATGGTTTATTATAAAAGACTGTACATAAACTTTAACAAGTTATATACAAATTAAGTGAAGACTTTCCAATTTATAAAGAAAATACAGGTAAATTATTGGTTGCTAATTTTTCAGAAAGTGAGATTAACAGTTAAAAAAGCAGAAAGCATTTGGAAGTTACAATGCCTTTTAGGAAGGTGAAGGAGTTTTGATGTTTCTAAATTTACACTAGAAAACAAATGATGCAGTGACCAATCAAGCTTCCAACCACCAGTTTTGTTGCACTTCTATAAAGAAGTGTATATTTAACACTTCATTAGGACAGCACCTTGAAGTCCAAAACAAAATCTTGCTACATACAATAGGTATACAGCATACTCCAGGTAAGCGAAGCACTAAAGTTTTGTATAAAATGAAGTAAATGTCCTGTTTTTGTCCCAAGTCCCATAATGCAGAGGAGCGACAAAGTGTATTTGTTATTCCCAATAATAAATAGGATGTTTGTCTGTTTCTCTACGACTGCTCTGACTGCCTAGTTGGTGTATTATCAGCTCTGAACATAGATTTTCTCCTGTTGATCTAGCATAGTTTGTATTTATCAATGTCAGTTGCAGCAAACAAACCAATTATTAAATTACAAGTTCAACACTCCTCTGAGAATCCTATTTCAAGTGCTTAATTTTAGCAGTACTTGAACCCTTACCCCAATCTTCTCTTTCAAAGTTAATTTGTGTAAAGTGGATAATGTTTAGGTTCTACATATGTTTGCCCACTAATGTCAATGTTAAATAAGGCTACAATACTTGTAATTAGTTTACTAGGTTGCTTGTGATAACGATCAAACTGACTTGCCTGGCAAAATAATTAGAAGTGCTGACAAAGTAATGGACAAGACCTTTGGTTCCACTTATATATTTATGAATGGAAAAGTTGTAATGCAAATGTACTCATTTAAAAAAACTTGGTACAAATTACACATACAGAAGACCACCCATTTTTGATTCACATGGACACCTTAGAGACTCAAGCAATTCATTGTAATCAACTTTAGTGAGTGCTCCAGGTAAAGATTACAACAAATTGGAAGCATCTTGGATTTTTAAAAAAGTATATTTCAATACATAAGTTTGTATGCATGCTTTAAACAATTATAATTCAAGAATGAGCAAGAGTCTTAACAAAAAGTAATATGACCAGCACTGACATCAAATTTTTCACCCAGATTTTTAATATGTTATTCTAACTTAGTTAGTTACCATGCTGCACTGAAAAAATGTAATGGCACAATCTGAATCATGGTTCATTAAATAGTATACCCTACTTCCCAAGAATATTTAGGCTGGTCATAAAATTAACAATGCATAAGTAAATAAGCATAACCATTAATAGACAGACGCTTGTTTTACAAGCTGCTATCAGGTAAGACAAGCTGCCTCCAGAGATTTATGCTTATGGACATGGACATTCTTCAATCATACCATTAAAACAGTATGGACAGAAAAGATGGGCACATTTTTAAAAGTTTAAGACAACTGTATTTACCTCTTGTAAATAATCATGGTATGATTGAATACAAGACCCAACTTGAAAAGCAAAGGATTTTAATCAGCATAGTGCATGATTGATTCAACATAATTCCCAGGGAACAGGCCAGTCACTCGATTGCAAACTCCTTCATACCACCCATCGTCATTCTTCTTTATCACATAAATGATTGCACCTTCCATAAATGATAGCTCATCATCCTTGTCCTTTGTGTAGTCATATATAGCAACAACTAGGAAGGAAGAGTCAGACAATTTAATTTGGCATGTACTGTTATCAGACACACAACATTTTGAAGTGCAGGTCTTGTTTTTTTAAAATGACTAAGGAGGACATCTCAGGTTTCAGTATTGGTCTCTGACCTATCTAAATGTGCTCAGTTTACAAATAAAGTTTTCCCTCCCCATCCTCTACCCCTCAATTCAACATGAAATCTGTAGAACCCAGATAGACTTTCCTCCTAGCACTACCAGTAGAGTAGTAGTATAGGCCCTCAATTAACGTTTTGGCTTGCATAACGTAATTGATTAGACTATAGAAAATGTTAGAGATGCATGAAAAGAAACACCACCATTCAATGAGGTGTAAAGAAAAAAAAACTGATAGCCTTGAAGGCACAACGCTGTCACAGCAGATAGAACTTGCCAATACACACATCTGTTAAGGTACTATTTGTATAGTTTAAGAAGGACCATACTGGATCAGACCAAATGTCCATCTAGCCTAGTATCCTGTCTGACAGTGACCAATGCCAGAAGACCCAGAGGGAGTGAACAGAACAGGGAATCTTCAAGCAATCCCTCTCTCATCACTCATTCCCAGCTTCTGACAGAGGCTAGGGACACCATTCCTACCCAGTCTCACTAATTAGTATTGATGGATCTAACTTTCATGATTTTATTTAGGTTTTTTTGAACTCTATTAAAGTCCTGTTCTTCACATCATCCTCTGGCAAGGAGTTCCACAGGTTGACTCTGTCCTGTGTGAAGACAAACTTCCTTTTGTTTTGAACCTGCTACCTATTAATTTCATTTGGTGACCCCTAGTTCTTATGTTATAGGAACAAGTAAATAATTTTTCCTTATTCACTTTCTGCATACTGGTCATGGTTTTATAGACCTTCCCAAATTCAAAATTAGCTATTCACTAAATGCTAGCCATGTTTACGTAGTGCAGTCATTAGTGAAAATCCTAAAGAAACCACATCCAAATAGAAGATATGCCTTTTAACAGCTTACATGTATCATAAGCAGCACATGGCAGTGCCATGGATCTAAAGGTTCCAACCTTGCAGATAACTAAATTACCAAATTACATGTGTAAAGCTTTTTTTTTTTTTTTTTTTTTTTAAGAAAGATATTTCAGCTCCAAAATCAATTAAGGTTGCAGACACTCAAGAATTAAGAAAATTCCAGAATTGGGGTTCCCTATACAGCCTTAAATCAGCTTTAACTTTACATTTTGCTAGTTTTTAAACACAGAACCACATACTATATTTTTATGGGACCTTCAGGGCACAAGCTAAACTGTGCTCTAGTAATAAATCAGGGTTGTTTAATGAAAGAGGCTGTTATCTGCAAGACTGTCTGATTCACTGCAAAAGTTGGAAGGTATGTAGCACTGAGGAAAGGAGGAAGGTCCTACATCAAAGAGGAAGGTCTGATGGTTAAAATGGTCAAATGCTGCTCTGGAGAATTATTCCTTCTATCACTGCTTCTGCCCCACTGCTTCTGTGTGATGTTAGGCAAGACACCTAAGCCAAAGCTTTGACAAGTGGCCACTGCATTCCTCACTTTTTGGGTGCTTAACACTTCCATGTTCTTAAAATCAGTGGACATTTGTCTTGTGCCTCAGTTCCCCATGAGTAAATTGGAGATACCTCCATCATCTCATATGGGTGCTAAAGCCAAAATTAACTATAAGAACTATGAGCACCAAAGCCCCCAATGAAAATTAACAATGCTTCAGGGTTTAAAGGATGTGCAGCAAATAATGCCTGGGTGCCCACAATGAATGATTAGCATAAAGATATGGAAATGCAGATTCAGTGACCATTATTCATCCTGTGCATTAGATGAGGCAGGAGTCAAGTGGAAAAGTGAGTGTGATTATGTAAATAAAGACAAGCCATAAGCACCAGTGGGCCAAATCAGTGTTACACATGCAGCTTTAATTCTGGTATTTCCAAAGTGTTGAGTGCTTGACTTTTGAACCTTAATGTTGGTTTTATGGATTCAAGATGGTCCATAGTGAGTAACTGCAGTAATACCAATCAATCAGTTTCATGTTCCTTAGTCATTTCCTAGATTATACATGTGGCAGATATCTGGCGAAGGGAGTGACAAAGCCTGGGTTGGGTACATTAGTAAAATGAACCTATGCTGGCATTATTCAGATGTCTATCAACTGGTGCTGAAAACAGTTTAACAACTAATTAAGATGCTTAACCACTACAGAAAAGGAAACAGACTCCAAACTCTAATCCAATGGTTCCCAAACTTTTCGGCATCACACTCCCTTTTTGATTGAGAAACCCTTACCCCACCCCCCAAAAAATAGCAGCAAAACCTGTTGAGCAAAACAAAAAAAGAAACTAACCGGGGCCAAAAAGCAGTCGTGGCCCCTTTAATTCCCAGGACCACTGTTAAAAAAAAAATGGTGCCGGTACTCCAGCGGAAAAGCAGAGCAGACATTGTCCTTTTAAAGCAGCCATTTTAAGTCTGCCCAGGATGCTCCATCCTCCCCCTGCCTCAGTCAGCCCGAGCTGTGTGTGTTCCAGTGGATGCCCGAGCCAGGAAAAACAGAAAATACCAGACATTTCACATGGTATTTTCTGAATTTTTTTACCAGATGGACCGGGCTCTTTCTTAGGGAGGAATTAATGGGGGGCTGGGTCACCTTGCACCCTCTCCCCCTGGAATTTCGTCACACAGCCCAGTTTGGGAATCTATGCTCTAATCAATCACTTATCACATTTTCATCCTCTATAGTGGCAGTCAAACCATTTTAAACACCAGATCACAGGGAACTTGTGGCTGGCACAAGTTGTCACAAATATTTTCTTAGCACAGACTGACCTTAGAGCTAGGAAATAGCTTGGTTTTTTTCTGTAAAATTAACATTACCAATCTTATGAGCTCCATAAGGAGTTCCATGTGCAAGCAAGATTCAAAATACTCTGGTAAATGCCTTAAACAAAATTACATTTTATTAAAAAGCTAACATAAGCCACCTTAGTTATCACACTTTTTAAGCAGAAAGAGAAAACATTGGGCTCCATTGGTCTTTCAATTAAGTTATTTCTGAATAGACTTCTGGCAGTGCTGACAG